TGGGACACATCCTGAGGTGCTGTCCCAAGGATGTTTTTCCCGATTGTCCAATTGTCCTGGCTGCACTGACACACTTTAAATACAAATTGCCCATACAATAAATTGGCCTTTTTTTCCCCAAAGAGCTCCGTGTGTGTCCCTGTCCTCTCTCTCTCTTTGCAGCACAATAACCTCAGCCCTTTCCTGCAGGTGAAGTACAAGGCAGACCTGAAGAAGCTGCACAAACCCGTCACGGACATGAAGGAGTCTCTGCTCATGAACCACGTGCTGAGCACGAGCCAGCTCGCCAGTGCTGTAAGCTCGGGGTGATCCCACATTCCCAAGGGTGGGAATTCCCATGGGAATTCCCTGCTAACTCCTCCTGCTCCCTGTGCTACCTCCATGGCATCACCTGGTAGTGATCTCTTCCTCTGGTTCCTTAATGGTTCCTCCTTAACCGGCATTTGTGCTCTGGGAAGGGAAATCTTCATTACTGCCCCACTGCTAATGTTTTATACACTGATCATTTTTGCTGGATTGGTTCTTGATCCCGTTTTAACTGACTGCAGAACTGCTAATGTTTTAAATCCTCTGATAATTTTTACTGGATTGGTTCTTGATCCCATTTTTAACTGATTGCACTACACTAACAAATACTTTTTTTTATTTTTTCCTTTTTTTCTTTGCTGATTACTACATTTAATTTTTAAATTTTTATCTGTTGTTTTTTTTTTTTTTTACTTCATGTTTGTTTAACACTCCCCTATTGTAAATCCACATAATTATGCCTAACAAAATAATTGATAATGAGAAATGGCAAAGCCTTTATTGCCTTTTCATTACACATGTGTTTTCTCTTTTCTCTTTCTTTTTCTTCTTTTAATCCTGGTTTGGACAAAACCTTTGTTGCAGTCCAAATGACCATAAAAAAATAAGTATTCCCCCACACCCTTAACCCCCAATACCAATTCTAAACTTCTTGGTTTTTGTTTTACTTCTTGCATTTCTAATTTCTCTCTGATGTTCCGTTGAAATGTCGCTTTGATTGGACCTAGAATCTGCTGAGGGATTTTTTTTTTTTGATTGAGATGATTTTTGACACCTTCCCTTCAGTACCAGTACAAGAAGCAGTATGAGAAGAGTAAGGGTCACTACCATGTGGTGCCAGATAATCTTGAACAGGTTCACCTCAGGGAAGCCTCAGAACTGCAGAGCCACGTAAGTTGGACGTGTGTTTGTCATTATCCCACCTCACTGAGCACCAAATTCCATCAAAATCCTCCCAGGAAATCCTCCAGGCTGGGACATTCCCCGTGCCCCTCTGCCCCACCAGCACTGCACACCTGGAGAAGGATCCAGAGAGCAAAAGCTGCACATTTCCAAACCCAGAACACATAAAATCCACAGATAAAATCTCTGTGTGATTCCTTCATTGCAGAGCCACTCCCTGCTCTCACCTCTGCTCTACATGGATCTTTTTACACAGGATAATACATTTATTACTCATTTATATAATTTATCAAATATATTTATCAGGGGAATTACCTCTGGAGAAAAAAAGACCTGAGAATCACAGAAAGTGGGAACTGAAGGAATGAGGGTTGTTGCTGACAGTGGATTTCCAGCTGCTTCATCCATTCCATGATCCAAAGGAAAGCTCTGCTGTCCTTTTCCTGCATCTAAAATGGCTTTTACCAGAACTATAAACGTGCCTGGAGTTTTTCCCTCTGGAATAAAACAGTGGATCACTCCAGAGAAATTCCCAGTCTGGTTTGGTCTCTGATCCTCTCTCTGTTCCAATTATTTATTGGTTGTAAAACAAGAGAGGAATTACTGCAAGAACACCAAGGGTCACAGCTGATTGTCCTGGTGCTTGGCACAGGATTCCAGAATGGTTTGGGAATATTTAGGATTATTCAAACCCACCCCTGCCTTGGGGACAGGGACACCTCCCACTATCCCAGGTTGTCCCAACCTGGCCTTGGACATTTCCAGGGAAATTCAAGGCATGGAAAGGCAAAAAGGTCACAAAAAGGACCATAAAGAAATGGTTGTTAATTACCTTGTTGTTAATGAGGTTGTAATTAATTTTTTACTTGGCCACAGCATTACCTCATTGAGCACTCTGAAAATCTGGAGAACAGAACTTGAAGCAGGAATCTCTTCATTGATATTTTACTTCCTGGACAGCAAATTTGACATTTGCTGATCAATAATACAGATTTCAGGAAGGCAAACTGCATTAGACATTCAATTTTTAATCCCCAAACTGTTGATGGTAGACACATAATTAGGTCTTTGATTATTTAGGAGGATGACTTTCTATCTTTTCTTCTCAGGTGAAATACAGAGAAAAATATGAGAAGGAAAAAGGAAAGCCCATGTTGGACTTTGAAACTCCCACATACCTGACTGCAAAGGAGTCTCAGCTCATGCAGAGCGAGGTAAAATCAATGCTGATAGGGCTGAAATGCTCATTTTCTTATTTCTAAAAGCTTATTTTAAAATTTCTATTTTAGAATTAAACTTAGGGATTGGACAGGCAATTCTACTTGCACCTTGTGCACGCTGATAGATTGAAAAATTATAATTATTTCAGATTTCTATATGATGGCTGTTCAATGCTGCATTGAACATTCATGACACTTTCCTGTCGTGAAATGAGTTTATCTGTTATCTTTTATCAGTAAATGAAGCTTAAACAAGTCTTTGAGTAAGAAATGTGGTACAAAATTAATTTTTACAGCACAACACAGTGTTTGTGTGTTATCACAGGACACAGAAAGTGCTCTGCTTTTTTTATTTACCTCAAAACTCCATTTTTGAGAAACTCTTTTATTCCCTGTTTGTCTCTACTGTCACAGGTTCTCCCCGACCTGTCATTTTCTTTTCTTGAGCAGTTTTTTTTTGTATTTATTTGAAGTTTATTCCTGTTCTGGCCCAGATGGAGGCTGCAAAGCAGCTGTGGAAGGCCATTGTAGTACCTTTGAATGTTTTCTCTGCATAGATAAATGAATAGAAAAATAAAAAAATAAAGCCAGGATCAGGTCCTATTTCCATAAAAAGCAATGAGCTGCTTGACAAATTTTAGAGGGAACAGGATTTAGGAGCCCATTTAGCACCAACTGTGCCCAGTGACATCAACACCCTCCCAGCTTTGCACATAATGAAAATACTGTAATAAATATTTGCTGGTTTGCTTTTTTTTTTTTTTTTTTTTTCCTTCTTCTTCTTCTTGTTGCTCTCATTAGAAAGAATATAAGAAGGACTTTGAAGAGTCCATGAAGGGCAGGAACCTCACTGGCCTGGAGGTCACACCATCCCTCTTGCATGTCAAATACGCCACCAAAATAGCGAGCGAGGTACCAGCTCCTCTGGGCTTCTTTCCTCTGCCTCCTGCAGCACTTCCAGCATTCCCAGTTCTTCTTCCCCACCCACACTGAGCATGTTTACACCCATTTTGTGCTGTCAGCTAATTTGCCATGGACATTTCTTCCTTGTCCTTTAACCCTATTCCCCATTTGCTGCCCCTCTCTGACTTCCCTCAGCCTAACTGGTCCATATGTGTGTGCCTTGGCAATTTATCTTCCACAATAATCCTTATCTTCTGTTGGAGTAGTTCTTCCATAACCCTCTACAATATTCTTTCTTGTTTTCCAAATTTCCTTTTTTTATTATTTTTTTTTTAATTTTTAAATTTCTTTTCTTTTGGAGTTTTTGGAATTCTTTTTTCTTTCGTTTTCCTTCATTTTTTTTGCAATGCAGTTGGCAGAGTGTAAAACTCCCTTTGGTCTGGCTTTGCAGTGTTTTTCCTTCTCCTTCTCCTGCAGAAAGAGTACAGGAAGGATCTGGAGGAAGGAGTGAAAGGGAAAGGACTGACAGCCTTAGAGGAGACTCCAGACATGCTGAGAGCCAAGAATGCCACTCAAATCCTGAACGAGGTAAGGAAGAGCTGCTTGGAAAATTCCTGAGAGGATGGAACAGCCTCCAAATTCCCTGGGCAGGGACACCTTGCACCATCCCAGGCTGCTCCAAGCCTTGGACACTTCCAGGGATCCCAGCTTCTCTGGGAATTCCAGCCCAGCCCCTCCCCACACTCCCAGCCAGGAATTCTTTTCCAACATCCCATCCATCCCTGCCCTTCAGCTGGTGTGAACTTCATCATTCCCTGGAGTAGAGGGCAGGAAAGGACATGGATGAGGGAATAAGGATCAAAGTAGACTTTTAAATGAATTCTTTCTTGGGTTCACTCAGATGGGAAACGGGAGCTGGATCAACAGTCACTCAAGAGACTCATTAATTAATTAATTAATTAATTAATCAAGGGACTAAACCAAGATTTAAGTCATGAAGCACAAACCGAAATAATCTGAAATGATATCATTTGTGTGCATAATTATGAGTTGACATTAGAGGTATTCCTGGTTTGGATTGATGATATTCCTGGTTTGGGATTTGCACTATTCTTGGTTTGGGATGGGAACTGTTCCTGGTTGGGACTGAGGGTGTTCATGTTTTGGGATTGAAGGTGTTCATGTTTTGGGACAGGCACTGTTCCTGGTTGGGATGGACAATATTTCTGGTTGGGATGGGCACAGTTCCTGGTTTGGGATTATCACTATTCCTGGTTTGGGATTGTCCCTATTTCTGATTTGGGATTGTCCCTGTTCCTGGTTTGGGATTGTCCCTGTTCCTGGTTTGGGATTGTCAATATTCCTGGTTTGGGATTATCACTGTTCCTGGTTTGGGATTGTTCCTGTTCCTGGTTTGGGATCATCACTGTTCCTGGTTTGGGATCATCACTGTTCCTGGTTTGGGATTGTCTCTGTTCCTGGTTTGGGATTGTCCCTGTTCCTCGTTTGGGATTGTCCCTGTTCCTGGTTTGAGATTGTCACTGTTCCTGGTTTGGGATTGTCACTATTCCTGGTTTGGGATTGTCCCTGTTCCTGGTTTGGGATTGTCAATATTCCTGGTTTGGGATTATCACTGTTCCTGGTTTGGGATCATCACTGTTCCTGGTTTGGGATTGTCCCTGTTCCTGGTTTGGGATTGTCACTATTCCTGGTTTGGGATTGTCCCTGTTCCTGGTTTGGGATTGTCCCTGTTCCTGGTTTGGGATTATCACTATTCCTGGTCTGGGATTGTCCCTGTTCCTGGTTTGGGATTGTCCCTGTTCCTGGTTTGGGATTGTCCCTATTTCTGGTTTGGGATTGTCCCTGTTCCTGATTTGGGATTGTCCCTGTTCCTGGCTGTGACAGGCCCTGTTCTGGTGTGTGCTGTGAAGGTGGGGCAGTTCATGTCCTGACCCGTGCCCCCTGGGCTTTTTCCCTGCAGAAGGAGTACAAGAAGGCCCTGGAGCTGGAGATCCGTGGCAAGGGGCTGAGCGAGCTGGCGCTGGAGACGCCGGATTTCGTGCGGGCCAAGAACGCCACCGACATCGCCAGCCAGGTCTGTGCCCCCCTGCCTCACTGAGCCCTTAACAAAGGAAAATCCCGATTTTTTTTCTGGTTAAACCCAGTGTGAGTTGTTGTGCAGAGATGACCCAGGCCCCTAAACGTGAGCTTTGCCCGACAGATCAAATACAAACAATTGGCAGAAATGGAGAAAGCCAACTACACCAGTGTTGTTGATACTCCAGAGATTATTCATGCCCAGCAGGTCAAGAACCTTTCCAGCCAGGTATCTTGAGTGAAGCAATTAACTCCAGGAAATACTAATTAAACACCCAAATAACCACCTCTCACAACCTTCAGGAGGCACCAGGGAATAAATCTTTCCAGGGCTCTGGAATTCTACGGCAATAATCAAATTAATTTTACTGCTGTGTCGAGTGACACGATAATTTCTCTTGCTTTGCAAAGCTAATTCTTTTTTAAGCAGATTCTTCTTAATTTTCTACTCCTCAATAACCTGCTGTCTAAAATAAACCTTGCACAGAGGCATAATCTCAGTTTCTGTCAGAGAAGAACTCACATCTCCACAAAGATGGGCACTACTCAACAAGCAATAACTCCAGTTTGTTTCCTGCTGCTTTTGTGTTTTCTATTTTAATCCATTTGGGGTTTTCCATCAGAAAAAATACAAAGAAGATGCAGAGAAGAGCATGCCCTACTATGTGCCTGTGGCTGACACACCAGAAATGCAGAGGGTCCGAGAGAATCAGAAGAACTTTAGCATGGTAAGTCCAGATATAAATTTAAAAAACCCATATTTTTCTCATTTTTGAAGAAAACTGTGAGGGAATTTGTACAGCATGAAGTTAAGATTTGAAATTTTCCCTTTTCACAGCTTCAGTATCAGTCAGACCTGCAGAGCAGTAAAGGAAAAGTCACAGTGGTTCAGGACACCCCAGAAATCCTGAGGGTGAAGGAAAATCAGAAGAATTTCAGCTCGGTATGGTCACCTCTGTCTCCACTCCTCCCCTCAAAAAATAGACTTTAATATCTTAAATAAAATTACAATTTTTTGGTGCTTCTCCCACAGGTACAGTCGATTTAGCTGGGCTTTATAAAGTGTTTTTTCCTGCTGATTTGGTGGGGTGATTGCTCTCTTTCACAGGCACAGCTGTGACAGAGTTAACCAATCCCTCATTAAATTAATATCATTATTATCCCTTTCCTTTGTGCTGCTCCCATGCCAGTCCTGCTGCCCCTCGTGCTCTGTGTGCCTGAGTTGTTGCCCAGTTCCTGTTGCCATCAAGTGCCTCAAGTCTCCTGTGGCATTTTGCCTCCAGCACCATTAACAAAGTGGAAAATATCTGTATAAATCAAATTAGAGCATATGATGATCTTCAATCCTAAAATTAGCCCACAAATGTTTTTATTATGGAATGGGTGGAAAGAACCTAAAGCTCATCTTCTTCCATCCTTCTACTAGCCCAGGAATATTCTACTGAAACATATTTGATAATTTGATTTATTGTATAAATCATCTTCTACTTAAAAAGCATTAAATATAAAAATTCAGTTCTTTTTTTTCCACACATGGTGCTCATTTTGGACACCTTCAGAGAAGCAGCAACCAGGGTGGATCCTCTGGGCTTTCAGCTGCTCTGTTGTGTCCAAATTCAGTGTCTGGGAGCAAGAATGTTGTGTTTTGGATGCTTAACCTTGTTGTCTTCATTCTAAACGTTAAGATTTTGTATAAAGAAGATATTGGAACTGGAACCACAATTGAAAAGACCCCAGAGATGCAGAGAGTTAAACGAACCCAGGATAATATCAGCTCGGTACACAAGAATTGATTTTTCATACTCACTCTACTGAACTTGAAATAATATTTTTTATATTTTTTTTTTTTCTTTTCTTTACATCTTGCTAACAGTGGTTTGGCAATAACCCACCCGGTTAAGGGTGACTTTCTGAAAGATTTTTGCCCATCCTTGTTACTTTAACAGTAACCTCTCTAATGATTAACCTTCCATTTCTTACTCACAACCCGTTTCTAAACTGTGAAAGCTCTTGCTGTCAATTTGATCTCATCCCAGAGAGACTTTGGACAGAAAAAAAGGAATATTTAGGTGGGAAGGGATGTGCTGAAATCATCTATTCCAACCCTGTGGCTCAGCTTTAGGATGAGTTGAGTTTTGAGTATCCCACAGGATGAAGATTCCACGACCTTTTCCAGGATGGGGCCATCTCCCAGGAAAATCTGTTTTACTCTGCTCAGAGTGAATTTTCTGGTGGCGATTTTTGGTTTGTTTCGTCCTGGCAAACTTGAATGTTACCTAAAATTGGAATAATTTTACCTATTAATTTTATTTCAAAGCTCCTAAACCTCCTCCAGGCTTTTTTTTTTGAATGGTGATGTCACTTAGCGTCATGCACTAACACTGCAGCCAGTTTGTTAAAAATGTTAATGTTCAAAATGTTCAAAATGTTCTTGTGAAAGGCTTTTTTTTCGTTGTTAGCAAAGCAGAAATGCAATGGGTCACTGCTGAAACTCTGTGTGATGATTCTCACCTTTGTTAAATGGGAGAGGCTCTTACACATCCCAAATTCTCCTTCAGCTGGTAGAAAGGAGTTTAAAGGAATTTACAAAACCCTTTCAGTGCCATTCCCAGTGACTCAACAGCAGAATTGCCTTGTCACACATTCCTTGGGAAGGGAAGTGGTGAAGTCTTTAAACTTTGCACAGATCAGGATAAAGCTCGTTCTGAGCCTTTGCAAACCTGCCGTGCATCCTTTGCCTTGCCCTGATTGCTGTGCCCTGCAGGTGAAGTACAAGGAGAGCATTGGCAAAGGAACTCCCATTCCTGACCTGCCGGAGGTGAAGCGAGTCAAGGAGACCCAGAAGCACATCAGCTCGGTAATGTCCCTGTTCCCTGTAAATCAGCTCGGGAATGTCCTTGTTCCCTGTAAATCAGTTCGGGAATGTCCTTGTTCCCTGTAAATCAGCTCGGGAATGTCCCTGTTCCCTATAAATCAGCTCGGGAATGTCCCTGTTCCCTATAAATCAGCTCGGTAATGTCCCTGTTCCCTATAAATCAGCTCGGGAATGTCCCTGTTCCCTATAAATCAGCTCAGAAATTCCCTGTTCCCTGTAAATCAGCTCGGGAATTCCCTATAAATCAGTTCGGGAATGTCCTTGTTCCCTATAAATCAGCTCGGGAATGTTCCTGTTCCCTGTAAATCAGCTCGGGAATGTCGCTATTCCCTATAAATCAGCTCGGGAATTCCCTATAAATCAGCTCGGGAATGTCCTTGTTCCCTGTAAATCAGCTCGGGAATTCCCTATAAATCAGCTCGGGAATGTCCCTGTTCCCTGTAAATCAGCTCGGGAATGTCGCTATTCCCTATAAATCAGCTCGGGAATGTCCTTGTTCTCTATAAATCAGCTCGGGAATTCCCTATAAATCAGCTCGGGAATGTCCCTGTTCCCTGTAAATCAGCTCAGGAATTCCCTATAAATCAGCTCGGGAATTCTCTATAAATCAGCTCGGTAATGTCCCTGTTCTCTATAAATCAGCTCAGAAATTCCCTGTTCCCTATAAATCAGCTCGGGAATGTCCCTGTTCCCTGTAAATCAGCTCGGTAATGTCCCTATTCCCTATAAATCAGCTCGGTAATGTCCCTGTTCCCTATAAATCAGCTCGGGAATTCCCTGTTCCCTGCACATCAGCTCAGGAATATCTCTATTCCCTGCACATCATCTCAGGAATTCCCTATTCCCTGTAAATCAGCTCGGGAATTCCCTGTTCCCTGCACATCAGCTCAGGAATTCTTTATTCCCTGTAAATCAGCTCGGGAATTCCCTGCTCCCTGCACCCTCCAGGGCTCTGCTCCAGCTTTTTCCTTTTGGGAAAGCTCCAGCTCTCCCAAATCCCTGTGGCCAGCAGCAGGAACTGAAATTCCTGAGTTTTACAGATTATCCCAATCGGTCCTGCCTGTGTTTCTTCTGTGGCCTTTTCTGAACACAGAGCTAGGAATAAAAATTACCCAGGTTTATGTGTGAAAGTTTGACTGGAAAAAAAAAAAAAAAAGGATAGGGAAGACAGAACTTGGAGGAAAAACTCCATTTGGAGCCTTTTTGTATGACAATTATGAGGGAAAACAAAACGTTCCCATATCCAGTCAAAGTGTAAAGTTCACAGCTCACTTATGGACAACTGCATTGTTTTTTCAAATGATTCCTCTTTATTTTCTAACCTTCACCACAAGTTGTTTTCCCTTGCTGTAATTGATTCATTTGTTTCAAAGACATCAAGCAGTGATTTTTTTTTTGTTATTAGTTTCTTTTGGTACAAGGATTTTCCTACTTGCAAGAAGAGCTGTGAGTGCACTTGTCAAGTGTTCCCACATTGTTTGGGTTATTCCACAAACATCTCCTTCCCTGAAAAATATTTTTTTAAAATCAAATAACTACAGGATAGATTAAACCTCATAACCTGAGTTGTGGTACTCACTTGTGTTTGTTTCCTAGAGATTTAACCCAAAGTAGAATAATGGTGAAAACAAACAGAAGTGAAAATGAATAAAGCCCACAATGAAGTCTTTGTGCACTGAACAATTCCAGAAAAGGTTAAGATGTTTATTAATCCCACAAAGAAATGCTGACTGCCTGTAAAGTGATTCTATTGCATTTCCTAAACTAAGATGAAAAGTAAAATATCCCTCTAAGGGTGGAGTCAGCAGAACATTTTAATTTGTGTCCTTTAAATGAAGACACATTGCAGGGAAATTATGCTGAGGGATGTAAATTGTGTTTTTATTCCGGTATAATCCCAGCTGGTGATGGCAGTGAGCAGGTGAGGGATGTCCCCAGGGGGGCTCTGACCCTGCTGCTGCTTGTGTCCCACAGGTGTTGTACAAGGAGGAGCTGGGCACAGGCACCCCCACGCCCGTGACCCCAGAAATGGAGCGAGTCAAACGCACCCAGGAGCACATTAGCTCGGTATTTACACCCTGCAGGAGTTATAACAACGAGCTGTTGTTATAATCCTGTGCTTGTGGCGCCCTGACCTTGTTCTTCCTCAGGGGTTTAGTCCTGGCTGTGCCCTGGCAGGGTTTTAACTCCTTGATCGCTGTTTGTGCTTTTTTTTTTTTTGGGGTGGGGCAGGGGGATTTACACCTTCACGTGCTTTTCTTCTAAGAACAAACCTGCCTGAAAATAATCCTGGCATTTCCTGAGCTAAGCTGGGCAGCAGAACATCCTCGTGGAGTTGTGGTGTTTCTCCCCACGTTTGTTTCACCCTGAGCCTTTCTCTCCTCTCTGCAGTGACCCATTCCCAGAATAATCCACCGCAGCCTCTTCCTTAATCCTTGCCTCTGGAACGAGCGTGCAATGAATCCCAAGCGATCCTAACTCTAAAAATCCGTCCCATAACAGTGGGATTCGGTGGGTCTGGCCTGTGCTCAGTGGGGTTTTTGTGGCACTGCTGTTGTCCCTCACAGGTGTTGTACAAGGAGGGTTTAGGGGCTGGCACTGCCACGCCGGTGACGCCGGAGATGGAGCGGGTCCGACGGAACCAGGAGCACATCAGCTCGGTACTGAGGGACCTGCACACCCCAAACCCCAAACCCCAAACCCAGACCCTTTACCTGCTCTGTGTCACACATCAGCTCGGTACTGAGGGACCTGCACACCCCAAACCCCAAACCCAGACCCTTTACCTGCTCTGTGTCACACATCAGCTCGGTACTGAGGGACCTGCACACCCCAAACCCTAAACCCCAAACCCTTTAACTGCTCTGTGTCACACATCAGCTCGGTACTGAGGGACCTGCAAACCCCAAACCCCAAACCCAGACCCTTTAACTGCTCTGTGTCACACATCAGCTCGGGACTGAGGGACCTGCAAACCCCAAACCCCAAACCCCAAACCCAGACCCTGCTCTGTGTCACACATCAGCTCGGTACTGAGGGACCTGCACACCCCAAACCCCAAACCCCAAACCCAGTCCCTGCTCTGTGTCACACCCTTGGCTGTGCTGGGATCAGCCCTTCCTTCTTCAAACCCCAAAATCCCCGGCAGGATCCTGATATTTTCATTTTCCCCTCAATTTAATGCCTTGCTCCCGGTGGAAGATTTTCAGGAATTCAAACACTGCAGCAGGGCCTTCTTTTCCTCCCTAAGGGAATTCCTTGTGGGATTGGTGTCCCCGCCCTTCCAGCACCTGCAGCCGATGGAAAACGGGCACTGAGCCCTTCCCAAGCCTTGGGATCAGGGAATGTTGGGGGTCACAGTGAGATCTCCCTGCCCTGGGAGGAGCCCGCCTGCCATTCCCAGCTCATGGCAGGGAAGGAACCCCAGGAAAATCAGAAAATTAGAAAATTGGGAAAAAAGAAAATCGGAAAATCGGAAAATTGGAAAATCAGAAAATCGGAAAATTGGAAAATCGGAAAATCGGAAAATTGGGAAAATGGAAAATCTGATAATCAGAAAATCGGAAAATTGGAAAACTAGAAAATTAGAAAATCGGAAAATTAGAAAATTGGAAAATAATTAGAAAATTAGAAAATTGGAAAATAATTAGAAAATTAGAAAATTGCTGCAGGAGTCTGGAATTCCCATTCATGACACATCCACTTGGAAAAGCTCCGTGCCACCACTTCATTGTGGAGCTGTGTTTTGATTTATTGGAGCTCCCTGTGGGCTCCTGTTGGGATGGATGAGGATCTGACAGGGAGTGTGGGGAAAACAGGAAGATTTCTAAATGAACAATTGTAGAAGGAATAGAAATGAAAACAAATTTTGATATAGTACAAACGAATTGCCGAGCAAAAAGCGAAACTCTTTTTATTTTCACACTTTGCAGTTTCACAATATTCAAGTATTTCTCTTCTCCTCTCTGTCCTCCCCCTTCCTTTATTTTATTTTATTTTATTTTATTTTATTTTATTTTATTTTATTTTATTTTATTTTATTTTATTTTATTTTATTTTATTTTATTTTATTTTTATTTTATTTTTTTCCACGCTCCTGCTGCCCACAGGTGTTGTACAAGGAGGGGCTGGGGGTTGGCACCCCAGTTCCTGTCACTCCTGACATGGAGAGGGTCAAACGCAACCAGGAGAATTTTAGCTCGGTACCTTTTTATCATTTCAGAAAAAAACCCCAATTTTTTGTAACTATTTAACACCTGAAAACTTTAAATCCTCTCTAATTAACTTCTAAAAAAATCTCCTTTTACCTTTTTAGGAATTATATTTTATATACTTATTTTTAAAAATATTTTTCTTATCATTTAACACTGGATGTTTCACATGTGTTAACTTTCTCCTGAAGTTGAATTTGCATTTTTAAACCTATTTGTTTTAATAATTTGCTGAATTCCCCTCCTTTAATACTTCCTTGCTCTGCTGGAGCCCATCCAAACAGTTGGATTTGTATTCCCAGCTCAATTTATCACAATTAACACCTGATTTATGCTCCCTAATTTTTCCTCCTTTCTACTACATTTAGTGAGCATAAAATTCCATTCATCCCCACCATGAAATGCAGATTTTTGATTTTTTTTTTTTCCCCTCTTTTTGACTGCCCCTTGGCCCACAGGTGTTGTACAAGGAGGAGCTGGGGACAGGAACCCCCACCCCTGTCACCCCCGAGATTGAGAGGGTCAAACGCAACCAAGAACACATTAGCTCGGTATTTCTGAATTTCAAGTGCCAAAAAATATCCCTTTTAATCGATTTTACAATAATCTTAACCCCAAAATACTGGATTGACACAAGAAATTCCCATTCCTTGTGTTTTGCCATTTTTTCCTTGCAATCCCTGACTTATTTTAATTAGATCCATCCCACTAATGAGTTGAGATTCCTTCTCCACATCCTTTTCCTGCCAGATTTTTTATGATCAGCTTTTCCTTTTATTAATCCCTTCCATCCTTGATAATTTTTGATTTCCCACGAATAAACCCCA